AAACAAATATAGTAGAAATCAAACTATTTAATTTCAAAAATTATTTGCCATTTTAAGAAATGTCAATTAAAAAATGGACCATGGTTCAGCAATGGGTCAGCAATGGTCAGGCCAAATTTTCATAAAACATCTCAAATTCAAAGAAAATAATTTTTCTATGGCTTGAAAACAAGGAAATATGTCCACAAAACAAATATAGTAGAAATCAAACTATTTAATTTAAAAAATTCTTTGCCATTTTAAGAAATGTCAATTAAAAAATGGACCATGGTTCAGCAATGGGTCAGCAATGGTCAGGCCAAATTTTCATGAAACATCTCAAATTCAAAGAAAATAATTGTTCTTTGGCTTAAAAACAAGGAAATATGTCCACAAAACAAATATAGTAGAAATCAAACTATTTAATTTCAAAAATTCTTTGCCATTTTAAGAAATGTCAATTAAAAAATGGACCATGGTTCAGCAATGGGTCAGCAATGGTCAGGCCAAATTTTCATAAAACATCTCAAATTCAAAGAAAATAATTGTTCTTTGGCTTAAAAACAAGGAAATGTGTCCACAAAACAAAACTAGTGGATATCAAGCTGTTTAATTGCCATTTTATGAATATCAGTTGATAAATGGACCATGGTTTAGCAATGGTTAGACCATGTTTATGTAAAACTCTTGCCATTCAGAATAAATGAAGGAAATTAATAGTGAGACAAGGAAAATATAAGCTTTCAATTTGAAGGTATCAGAAACCAAGCACATAAACCCCCCCTATTGACTGAGTTGTGTCTTGAGACATGGACCATGGTCTTGACATGGTCAGACATGTTTATATGGAAAATGATAAAAAATACAGAAAACTGTTACTTCTTCTTATATTTCTATTGAGGATAACTTGTTAGACAGTTGAGCATTCATATTTTCCAAGAGCCAACAAAATAAAATCATTACAGGCAAAATCTTCTTTCATTGCTCAACCATGGTCACTAACCATGGTCAGCACTTGTCAGAATCACGGCTCAACCATGGTATGACCATTGCAAACTATGGTTGGGCCATGAACCATCGTTGGGTTTTCGCAGGGGTTGGCCCCTTACATACTTTATACCGTTTGAGAGTTATGACAATAAATCCTAGCAATTGAAACACAAAATGAGGGGCCGGGCCTCTTAGACACTGCATTACAAAAACTGGAAACATTATTCAAACATCAATTTGTAAAGTAAAACCAAAACCATTACTATCATTCGATTTGCTCCAATGATATCATTCATTTTGCGCAATAAATATTGATGTCTAACATGGGATGGGCAAATAAACCCCCATTTTTGTGAACGTTAACAATAGAGGTTGTAATCAGTAAAGGTCATTAAACCATTTAACTTGCATAGCTCATTGAACTTATATCTTATTCCTTTTGATATAATACGAGTTCATTGAACTTGCATGAACCATTGAAAACAGTTCTCAATCAATGTATGACAGAAAGAACAATAGTGCACAAGCTCATTATAGCATGGAAGACGAAAAAACATGAATGTCCACAATTTCGTTGTAACAATAATTTATCAAGAATAACTAAAACCATCTTTAACTATGTATACAATTTACAATAAACAACAAATTTATAAGATAAACATAAACACCTAAACAAACTAAAAAACTAAACTAAACAACGAACAAAAAATGTCAACGATGAAAAACAGGTCTGCTACCGGCATAAAAGATGCAGTTTTTTGCCCCTTTTTGGGGGCTTTCTTTTGCTTTTTTTGCCCTTTCTAAAAACTTGATTATAATTGTCATCTCTTGTCTGTAGAGAGAAGAGAAACGTTACTTAACCGACAGTAAAGCGGAAATGAAAACTTTCTTCTGGTATTCCATATTCAAGCAATAAAAATAATGCTTTCTTATAGTAAGAACAATTAAATTATTAGTGATATAAACATACCTTCCGACTTCTTCTCTTTTCTCCTCAAAACAATTTCAAAAGCGAAATGGCGTCAACAAAGACCGAAACCGCTGATAAATGTCCAGTCCGATTGATAAATGTCCTCAATAAAGTACAAGTATACATAATATCCATTTTGGCAATAAATCCCATTTTCACAGAGTCCAAGTTGCAATAAATAATTGTTCCATTCCACCAAAGGAATTTTCTTGGTAAATAATACTCTCCTTGTAAGCAACGGAAAATCCCTTTGTCCACAGTTTTCACAACGAAGAAAATCCATCCATGAGGATAATCGATCGAACCAAATCAGTAAATTAAAGCGGTTGGAACACGCGGGGTCAGCCACATTATAATTGTACGCAACAAGCTCCGATTGATCCTGTAAAAAATCATAATTTCTTTATTGAATAAACATCAAAAAGGGGTTTTTAAGTACATCGCGAAAGGGATGCCTATCTCAATATAGATTCAAATAAAATCAAAATAAGTAAGCAACTTACCACTATTTCTTCCACTAAGCGAAAAACGATGAACTCACTGCCTGAATAATCCAACCATGCTGTCTTCAACAACACAAAATAAATGTCGAACGATCCATGTCTGATAATGAGATGAAATCCTATCAAACTCGGATCATATTCAATTGATTAGCAAAGTAATGAAGTAATTCGTGTGCAAAAGCCAATGCAATTAGATTAATAATGATCGCCTAGGCAATCAGACGATGACACGATCACCGCATGTCCACTACGAATTCAAACTCCATCAACGGCTTTTGTTCTGGTTCTGAATCTGTTTACAGTAAGGATCAAATATCCATTCCAGATGACAGCAGGAGGTACTGGTTGGAGGGC